TTAAATTGAAACTTTCAAATGCGTTTTACTAGATGTATTCAACATGTCCACTATTGGGGAAAGGGAAACCTCTGCTATAATCAGAAGGGAAACGTCACATAACTCGGCCTTTTGTTGTTATTTAGATTGAGAGACCCCTAAATGACATATCATACATTCAACTTGTTCTCATATTTTTCTTTATTTAGCTCGTCTAATCCTATCAAAGACAGATACGTCCTTCTGTAAGTAAACACCACGTACACATCACAGAAGCTGACTAACACCAACCCTCTAACTTCTCTTAATCCATTCTTTTCATTCGGTGGCTTTACGACTTTCAGAGAGCTGAAGCCGGTTTCTGTGTATTCAAACCTCCTCCCACCTAAAGTTGGCTGCAAGTCCTCTGACATTGTCATTTGGCTCTGGAACATCCTGTCCTGGGTAAGATGTAGTGGCAGTGGTGGGGGCGTAACAACACCAGGTAGGCAGTAGAAGGTGTTTTCTCCATTTGAGAAAGCATTGGCTGTTTTGAGTAAAAAGTGCACTCCCCGTGGGTGTAAAGTTAATTCTAATTGGAAATAATCACCATTTGGGAACATGCACCAGTGATTCAACAAATTTGTAAGTGTTTTGGGCCTGACTCATCATACCCATACATAAACATGTGGCAGCTTCTTTTCCGGGTCAAGTCTAATGATGATTGAAGAGGATGCTTTGTGTGCATCAGAAACGTCCATTAGAGAAGCCCAGCTAGGTGGGAGACAACGTACAAACACATATTAAATCAGAACATCCCGTGATGAAGCTAAAAACATTTTGGACTGGCTGTTCGAGGACTTTGTTATGCAAGCTGTGGCAGGGAGGGGAGGACACCGGATAAAATGATATAACCAGATGAGTGTTATTTGAGTAACTTATGTGGATTTTAACGATGTATGTGTCATTTAAATTAATTTCAGTCAGACAACTCACGTGTTTCTTTAACATGTTTATTAGAAGCAGCTTATAGTTGAGTTTGGCGACTAGGCTCGGGCCTCATCACTCCACAGATATACATAGCACAATGAGTGATGATTAAATAACTAACCCCCCGAGCCTACAGGTGGAAGCTGGGGTGGAAGCTGGGGTGGTGGTGGCGCAGGCAAGCAGCAGCGACGTGGAAGTAGCTCAATATTCATTTATTCTGAAGCATAATTGTGTGATAAGGAAGCTTTATGCTGCATGGCATACCAAGTAGCTCTTTCACTGCATTCATTAACTCCACCTTACAAACCAAAATGTCAAATGTAATTGTTCTGATAATGTGTAATTTAATTAGAAACATAATTTTCTACACCAGACCACCATTAAATCATGTCAGAGTTCCAAGCTAGTTCATTAACAATGCATGTAGTTTATAATGAGACTAATTCTGTTCTGGCCCAACTATAGCCTAGGTCTTGCTGTGATGTAATTGTGAGGGAATTTGAACCTTTATGCACACAACGAGCAGCCAGAGGCCTGTACTACGAAGCCGGTTCAACCTAACCTGGACATGTTTGAGTTAGCCGGTTGGCCTAATCCAAAACATACGTGCTCTCGCTAAACGGTCCTACAATGCGGGTTATCAAGTGGATCGCTCAAGCCAGCCGTGTCCTATATCTAGTTAGGTGCGCGTTCACATAAAAGGGGTGGTATTTGGAGCGATCGACCAATCGGAATAATGGAGAAACCCAGAGCGAACTATTTGACGGCGGAGGAGCAGACAATGATCATGAGCCGCTACGAAGATGTGAAGCACACCATTAAAGCCAAAAGCAGTACCCTTGTGGCTGCCAAACGTCGCCAACAATGTTGGCAGGAGATTGCAGACTCCGTGAATGCGGAAGTAAAATACGTATATAACAGCGTGCACAGCTGCACATCTTTAAAAAGTGTATTGATGCACGGCAGTCATGTACAAAAATAAATCCGGCGCTTCCAGATTAATTTTCTAGTTTATCGGATAAATAGTCATTAAAATACCAAATTGATCATTGAGTGGCAGCCTTTTTTATTATAATCTCATCGCCCGAGGGTCACAAGTGGACTTTAAGCCTAATATGTTTGTAATCCTTTTCATTTATAGCATTTTTTAAATTATTTTTTTCGTTTTTCAGATGTAACCCCGGCGGGTCTAAAAGGACCTGGGAGTAATTGAGAGTCAAACACAAAAACATCATTCAATCTGGTAAATTTCCCTCTTTTGAGATCTTAAAAATACAACTACATGTTTTGTATTGCTTCAATTAGTCTGTGTTTCATAACTGTATAGCAGGGGTGGGGAACCCTTTTCCTCTCAAGGGCCATTTCAATTTTTTCAACATCCTCCGAGGGCCGTACAAATTATTGACCTCTGCTTAAAAATCACAGCCCATCCATTTGGCCTTTCTTTCATTCTGTGCAAAGAAAAAGCAACCTCTTAATCCAGATATCTTGCCATGACTCGCACATGCATTCACGTGCACGGTGTGGCATGACCACCAAACAGAAAGATATGGACACAAGATGTGTGCAAATGTATTTAGTTTCCTATTCATGTGGACATGATTTAAGTGGGGGGGGACCATAGACTGTATATATAAAGGGGGGGGACCTAACCTCCTCTAGGGGTGTCCGGGGGACATGCTCCCCCGGGAAGATTTTTTAAAATATTGAAGTTGAAAGCATCAATCTGGTGCACTTTGAGAGCAACATGAAGAGATCTATGGAAACATCTCTCAACACCCATATGAAACAGAACTGTAAGCAGGTTTACTTTTTCTTTATGGATATTTTACAAATCACTCTCCTTTCAAACTGTATTCTTGTTTATTAATAACAACTTTTTTTTACTGTCATATAGTATTTTATACCTGTTTACTTTATTCTCTTGTTTTTTGATAACTATAATGATCATATAAAGATGTGCCCTTTACCTCACTGGTTGTAGAAAAAGCTTCTTATATTCGTTAGCATAGCTAGCTAACCAGATGCTAATAGCAACAAAGTTATTGACTGTATGATCAGAATGACAGATGAGTAGATCGCCTCTGGGCTTTCAACTAAAGACACAGCCCTGCAAAAACTGCGGCATGTGTACGGCTCCATGGATACTGCGATTTTTGAAGTCCCGGAGTGGCGTTCTGGTGCTCTCCGGTAGAACTGCACCCCTGTCAGACGTTAGGCTCGTGTTGTGTTCAAGGACCATGACCGTTGCCAGGAAAAACAGGCACTCGCTTGTTTAATTATTTTGCGGTCTAGATTTCTTTAATTTTTTTTCTTTTTTGTGTGTGTTTATAAATTACCTCGAGGGCCATACCAAATGGTCTCGCGGGCCGTGTACGGCCCGGGGGCCGGAGGTTCCCCACCCCTGCTGTATAGGATAGTCACATTTGTTCCCAATTCTTGCAGCCATCAGGAAAATAAATGAGCAGAGGAAGACAGGTAATTTTGTAACATTCGGTCATTTATTTTCAAGTCAAATGAAAGGTGCATAAGGTGACCTTTATCTTTTAGGATACCTAAAAGAGAAATCCCTTCTTTCTTTACAGAAAAAGTAAACCAAAATTATGTTTTTTTCTCTTTTTCCTTCAGGAATGGCTGAGAAAATAAAAACTCCAACATAAATCACCAAAGGCCTCTCTCTCTGTGTGTTAATTTTTGTATTATGCAAATAACAATGCGATAGCATCTCTGACAGCCCTGCCAGTAGGGTAGTCCATGGGTGATGGGGTCTACCACATCAGGAGGTTGGGGGTTTGCAGGAGGGGCCCTCTCCTTCCTCATGGTGGCAATGTTGTGCAGCACAACACAGGCCGTTATAATGCGGCATGCTCTTTCAGTGGCCACTCTGAGCCCCCGCAGGCAGGTGAATCTGGCCTTCAATAGGCGCATTCACACCGCAGTACTTTTCCCACAAAGGTTCATGAGAACTTAGTTCATGGGAACTCTTTAGTTCTCGTGAACTAAGTACAGATTGCGTTCACACCGGAATAAATTCCTGCGGGAGGATTAGGCAAATGAAGCCTCTGACGTCACTTCTTCTTCTTCTACTTTGGGTTTACTGGCAGGCCGCAAACAATTTCACGGCGTATACTGCCACCCGAAGTCCCCGGCCGGAAGTCCCCGGAGTTGGGGACTGGCTTCAGTCAAGCCTTCCGAGTAAATCGCCAGAACGCCGACACCTCATCATTACTCCACCGCTCTCATGTTTTCTTTTGTGTTGCCATAAATTAGTCTCTCTGCGTTTGTGCGCTGGGCTAATGCTAATAATGCTAATATGAGGATAATAAAATGGCGGCTTCACAAAACCTTTTTGGAGTTTTACGGGGCGTGGTTTGCATTCCGCCCAGCCAATCAGACATAGGAACCTTTTTCTCCCACGAAAGTGCATGCTCTATAGCAGGTAAAAAAGGTTCTGATGAACTAATTTTAGTTCCGGCTCTTCTGGTGTGAACGCGACATTTCGGAACTTATCAGCAGGTCTCCCTTGAAAAAGAGATCAATGATCTCAATGGGATACACCTGGGTAAATAAAGGTTTGAAAAGAAAAAATGAAAATCAGGAATGGCTGGCAGGCATAACCCCTGTCCCCGAGCAGCACTCCTCCTTCAGAGCCCTGAAGATAAAGGAGTATTTCCATAATAAGTACCACAAAAGGCAGCTTAAGAAGCAAAATACAATAAGAATGTACAGTTGCCATACCCTGCTCGAGTTTGTGACACAGTGAAGACTCTGAGAAGATCCTCGAGTCATGGACTGACCCAGGCCACTTTGCCTCAAGGCTGGTGATGACACTGTGGTCACATGTGGCCTGCTAAAGCATTTGGGGTTAACAAGCCTACTTCCACAATAACAGCATCATAGTCAGTGTAGCATCAATGTTCATTTGCAATGAGTCCATGTTATAGATAAAGATAGTCCAAGTGTGAAACATGTACTGTGTGAATATTTAAATGTGTGATTTCCTTTAATCACCCAGACTTCAATGTGTGTTCTAGTGAATGTGCAAGATTTACCTGAATGTTGAGGCTGTGGAATGATTTGCGATTCACATAGTCGTCTTCATTATCTCCCAGGGACGCAGAGATCGGTATATGTGCACACAGTCGATACAGCCAAGCACCCTGGGAAACCCTATGATATAGTAGGCTGCATTTATTATACAACAGTGTACGTCATAGGAACAACATTCACTGTAAAGATATAATCACATATCAATACCTGCATGCTGTAAAATCCCTCTTTGATCGTCTGCGTGGGACATGTGCCAGGAAACACAACAAAGGATTCTGCGTGCCCTGTCAGAGCATGTGCGACCTTCTGAATAGCACTGCAGACTGTATTCTTGCTTAGGTTCTCTGCATCCCCCACAGCAGAGAAAACTGCCTGTTGCAAAGTATCGCAAAGCAATACATACAGTCTGCGGCACTGTAAGGGCACAACTCCGATGTGTGGCATTAGCAATATATGGCTATACATATGGCAACACACATATCTTTAATGTATTTCTACATTTATTTGTTACTAAAATTAGGTTTTTCTGGAACAGATGTGAAAAATTGATGGTTACTTCTGGAACAAAATCGCATGTGTGGTGAAGATGGCGTGAGTTGGGAGAGCGGTCGAGGGCGGTCAACACGAGAACAGAGTACCTTTTGTTTTACTGGAGGCCAGCCTTAGGTAGACGCCCCCCTACACCTCTGGTGGATGCAAAACAAATATTGGTGACAGTAAAAAAATAATTAAAAAAAATAATTTTAATAAATAAATAATACATTCTTTGTAAATAAAAATGGTTAACAATACAAATATACTGTACATTTTTTTAGAAATAACATATTAATATAAATGTAATAACATTTTAGAAAAACATCAAATAAAAAAATCATAGTACAACATAATAATAAAGATATAATAAAGTTTGATAAAAATACAATAAATGAATAAAAAATAATAATATTGGAATAAATACATACAAAGTAATATAATAATAATGAACAAAATAACAAAATAATATAATAATACTATATTTAAATTATAATATTAAGAAAAATAAGAAAAAAATACAAATAAAACATTTCTAAAATCAATAACAGACGTAGGTGCGGGTCTGCCTGGGTAAAATAATGGAAGTAAAAATAAACTTTGGAAGTTACCCCACCACCTCGGAAAGATTTAGTAAATACAGATCTAACTAGCAGACAACTGTTTGGTTAGAGCAGGCAGACCACAACCAAAAATTATCTGGGAGTGTGGGCTAAAATCCCGAGAATTAACACTGTACTTTCGGTGAGAATGTGGGTTGGAGAAATATACATATTTATACAAAAATAAAGAATTCAATAATTAAACCAAAAAAATACATAAAACAAAATAAAAAATAGATGTATCTTTGTAAAAAGAAAATATATATTATAATAATTATTTAATAAAATAATAATAAAATATAATAATTGTTCAAAATTACGGAAGAGGATTAGGGCCACATACATTTTTTTTGGTGAGGATTTGAAAAAAAAACGTTTTTTTTTTGTTCTGAGAAAAAAGTCAGAATTCTGACTTTAATCTCAGAATTCTGACTTTTTTCTCAGAATTCTGATTTTAAAGTCAGAATTTTTTTTCTGTTTAGAGAAAAAAGTCAGAATTCTGAGATTAAAGTCAGAATTCTGACTTTTTTCTCAGAACAAAACAAAAACATTGTTTTTTCAAATCCTCAAAAAAATAATGTATGTGGCCAAAATCCTCTTCCGTACAAAATACATGGAAATAAAATAGTGTTCAAAATAAAATAAAATATGAATTAGCCTCGGCACAGTACGCAACATCACTACTCTATACTCCTGTCCAATAGGTGGCGCTCATGCAACTCTAAACTGGTTTGCCAACTGCAAATAACTACTAAAGAAGAAGCAGAAGAACACAAAGTAGTAGAAGAAGAAGAAAAACAGGTGTGTTGCTATGGTGACATTTTCAGGTAAGGCTGTTTTTAAAATGATATGAGCTGTGATTATTCAGTCAATAAGCTAAAACCATAGACCAGTGACGTGCGGTGAGGTTCATGGCTGGTGAGGCACTGACTCTTTCAGTCAGATTTACAAATATTATATTTTGACCTTAATCGAAATGTTCGGTTATTTTCAAAAGCTTTTTTAGTCTGATGCTTCGATTCATTTTAAACAGACTGTTCAACAAAAGGATACCCAACATCTAAATATTGGATTGTTCTTTCTTAGTAAGATTCCATTTTCATTACAATTGGGGTCTTACCTTGACTTGAAGATGAAGTCCATGCTATCCTTCTGGACAACAATCTCTCTTACTTTTTTGTAAAAGTCCTCCTTATCTTCCCCTAGTTTCAAAAGTCTAGTTTGTTGTTTGCGTTTACCGTCTCTGCGTAGAATAACAGTAGCAACAAGAACCTGTGGGCTCACGTGCGCCCCCTTCAGTGCGGCAGAGGTTATGGCTGCCTCCCCTGGTGCTTTTTTCATTGCCGTTGTATTCTTTCACACACAGTGACGTCACAGCTACCCACAATGCAACGCGCGCCATATATTTTTTTATAAAGACGCCATTTTTCTGGAGGTGCAAAAATCCTGGCAATGCTAATATAAACAGCTAGCTTATATAGCCAGGCAGAGCGCACTAGGTTTTTTTTCCGAATTAACGACCGAAGAAATCACTGCATGTCTTCGGATTACATCTCTGGACTTGAGGGGTGTGCTCTAGGTCGTTACCAGCGTAAACTAGAGCTGTGTGGGTTGTTGGATGTACAATGTATGGAATTACGACCCTCAAAAGTGGCCTTCGGTCGATTTTGGCTGCATCTACCTCTATCTTCTGGAAACACCAGGTGAATACCCCACTTGTCACAATAATATTATCATGCCAATGCATATATGTGGTATTTTAGAGTTGACTATATTGATTAAGGCAATCGACTATGATATTCTGTATGCACCTCGTGTGAAATGGTTGATACCGGAAGTACGGTGTCGCCCTCGGCCCAAAACCCGTATGTGTGTGTGAAAGAATGATGAGACCAGCGAGCCTAAATATCATATACGTGAAATAAGTTATTTAGAGACTATGGATGGCGAGGATACATGTAATAAAGGGATCTACTAACATTACATTGGTGACATACAGTGAGATGGTGCAGGCATGCGCTTAGGGCCTGCTTTCCAGCCAGTTTCTGTGGGGTGACGCATTCTGAGGTGAGGCAGAGCTCATCTGTGCCTCACCTCACCCCACAGTACTGGCTTGAGCACGCTCACAAAATAAGTGCCCGCGTTAAATTAGTGCCCGCGCTCCAGCCAGTTACTGTGGGCTTACGAGAGGCAGAGCTCGTCCCTGCCTCACTTTTCATCGCTACCCGTAGTTGTAGCGGAGCTCGTCAAATTGGCTGATTTTTACGGTGGCCCTGAAGTGCAAGACACCACAGCATTTCAGAAACACTACAGCATTTCAGAAAACACCACAGCATTTCACAAAACACTACAGCATTTCAGAAAACGACGCAGTATTTCACAAAACACCACAGCATTTCACAAAACATTACATCATTTCAGAAAACGCCGCAGTATTTCAAAAAACACCACAGCATTTCAGAAAACACAACAGCATTTCAGAAAACACCACAGCATTTCAGAAAACACAACAGCATTTCAGAAAACACAACAGCATTTCAGAAAACACCACAGCATTTCACATTGGACGGAAAGGGTATTCCTTTAGGGAGAAACACTTTGTTTGTGATTGGACAGAGCCAGCCAGAGAAGCACTGCTGTGATTGGTTGTTTTTGCTGCCAGTCAAGAAATGACGCTTCGTGATTGGTCAACACCCGACAGCGAAATATGTCCCAACCTATACAGTCTATGGTCCCAACACATCAGCAGTTAGCACACACTCAGAGCTCACAGCTCCTCATATCTGTTCAGAAACTGGACACAAGTTAAACATGTACAAACCACAGACTGTCTATGTCATGGTGAATACAGTCGCTGCTTTATTTATGTCTGTATGACGTTGTTGTGAGTGTGGACGGAGCGGCAACAGGTTAGTTTAGCCTGATGGGTCCGATTCCATTCAGAAAACACGCATTTTAAAAGCTTTTCGCATGCCGTCTTATCTGCAGACTTGTAAAAGCGTTAATTCATGATTTTTACTAACCATTATCAGTATGTAGTTACTTCGGCATCACTTTGAAACGTGTATTACAATTAAATCACGGTCAAATATGTTCATTTTGTTGTAGTTGATTTACATGGAGATACGCCTCGCCCCCTCTCCAGCGCCTCTTGTTTGAATGACAGGAGCAAACACAGCTGACAGCCGCGGTGAAACTCGAGCGATTAGAGCGATGCGAATATTGGGTGGTCTACCATAGTATTTACATGGAGATAAGCCCCTTAAAAACCATGAATTAATAAAGCATTAATTCTGTGTTTACTCCTGTTATTCAAACAAGACGCTGGAGAGGGGGCGGGCCGTATCTCCATGTAAATCCTATCGGAATCGGATCGATCAGGCTAAACTAACCTGTAGCTGCTCCGTCCAATCTCACAACAACGTCATACATACAGACATAAATAAAGCAGCGACTGTATTCAAAATGACAGACAGTCTGTGTTTTGTATATGTTTAACTTTTGTCCAGTTTCTGAACAGATATGAGGAGCTGTGAGCTCTGAGTGTGTGCTAACAGCTAACGGCTGATGTGTTGGGCCAATCACGCAGCGTCATTTCTTGACTGGCAGCAAAAACAACCAATCACAGCAGTGCTTCTATGGCTGGCTCTGTCCAATCACAAACAAGAAGTGTTCTCCCTAAGGCAGGGCTCGACATTAAGGACTGCCCGATGGCCCGGGGCCATCTAGTATTTAGCTCGGGCAATGAAGCCTCACCTGCTGGTTGCCCGATCGGGCAATCTATTATGCCAGTATCATGCAGCTCGCGGATCCAGTAATGAGAGACCCGACAGTAAAACTAAACTTATCTATAACTAGTTTAGGTAGTTTGAGAGGTAATTAAAATAGCTACGTGTGATATTCTAAACTAAAGTGTGTGTTTTGTCCGCTCACCGCTGCATGTGATCATGCAGAGCTGCGTGTCGACTCGTCAGCAGCAGCTGATCTCTCTCTCCCGTCAGATTAGACTTCACTCGCGTTTATGTCCATATCGATCAGATCCAGCTAGTTCTAGCTAATGATATGACTACCTGCTTATTAAAAGACACCTAAACAATAAGTGTCGCTATGCAACCGGATGAGGCCACAAAGTATAGCGCAGCATTATGCATTTGTTTACATGCCCACCGGAACCCCGAGGCATTACCAACAGATCAACGCACAATCAACCCATACAGGACATCTCTTTCTCCACATTAAGTGTTAGACATTAGAATTGACTATT